TTTGCCCAGTCAGAAAAAGTGATTAAGAAACAGCTCATCATATTGGTACATACAGAGGAGTTTGTGTGACTAAAAAGAATAGCGGTGTCATCAGCATAAGTGGCAATAAGGGCTCTACTATGGGAAAATCTGGGAAAGCTAGGAGTTGGCATATCACTGACGAATATGTTGTAAAGAGTGGGTGCGAGAACGCTTCCCTGGGGGACACCAGCTCTAATTGGACGCACTGATGATAGAATGCCCCTCTCCTTGACACAAAAGGAGCGATTAGACAAATAGGATTTGAATAGCTCATACAATGGCTGAGATAAAAATGCTTTAAGCTTGAAGAGGAGGCCGTCATGCCACACTCGGTCGAAAGCCTGTTCGATGTCCAGGAAAACGGCCGAGGTGAATTGATTGTTGTAGAAAGTGAGGTGCACATGGTTAACAATGCGGTGAACCTGTTGAATGGTACTGTGTTCCCTACGGAATCCAAATTGGTGATCGGGTATAATGTCACTAAGTTCAAGAATATCATTTAGACGGACGGACATAACGATTTCAAAAAGTTTGGAAAGAGCCGATAGAAGACTAATGGGTCTATAGTCCTTTAGTTGGCTTAAAGAGCGACCAGATTTAGGAATCATGCTGACAGCCGCGCATTTCCATTGTTTTGGAAAATAACGAAGCCGCAGCATGACATTAAAAAGTTTTACTAGAAACATGATGGCACGGTGGGGAAGGCAGCGCAAAACCCGGTTTGAGATGTTATCTAAGCCAGGGGCTTTTTTAATTTTTAAGTTGGCTATATGATTAACTAATTCGGATGGACTGACGTGACGAATAGGAGTAAGTGGTAAAACTTCGTTTGAGTTGTCATTAAGTGCCGCAGTCACACGTTGAGTTTGGGCCTCAGAAGCAAAGTCCAAAGGGGTGAAACGAGACTCTAATTCATTTGCGAACGCTTCCGCAACTTCTAGAGGAGTAGTACACCAGTTTCCTGCAGAATCCTTGATGGGGGCCACCATATGTGGCTGGGATTTGAGGTGTTTCGTAGCACGCCATAAATTAAAGCCACCTTTTTTAGTAGGGTCAGCATTCTGCAGTATGAAATTAAAGTGTGCCGAACGAATACGTTTGAGAAAATTGGACAAAATGCGTGACACAAATTGCCAGTCAGATTTGTGTATTGGGGAACGGGTGCGAATATATAGCTTACGAAGTTGTCGCTTGAGGCGGGCAAGCTCAAGGGCTTCAGCTTTTAAAGGAGGTCGGTAAAATGGGGAGCGATGGAAGAATGGTGAGTTGGTAGACGGAGTAGCTGCAATGGCAGAAGTGCGTAGTTTGGCAGTGAATAAATCAATAGCATCATCTATGTCATCGGTGGAATCGATGTCCATATTTAGATTAATGCTGTTGCTAAGGTGAGTTTTGAACAGTTGTATGTTGGTGTATTTAGTAAATAAAATTGAGTTGGTAGATGATGGAGAAACGGAGGGGGAAAAAATTGCAGAAAGGCCAAAATTAAGTGTAATAATTAAAGGAACATGATCGCTTGTTAGGTCAAAAAGGCGAGAAATATTCATTAGAGAGTGAGGAATATTTTTAGTTACTGCAAAATCGAGCACAGATGGTGTAAAGCCACTGCGCGGGAAATGAGTAGGTTCGGCAGTAGAAAGTATATTAATAGAGCTAGAAGATAGAATAGAATCAGCAAGGGCAAGACCGCGAGGGCAGCTCCTAAAGTTACCCCACAAGCGATGCTTGGCATTCCAGTCACCACCCACGAGGAATCTATCACCAAGCTGATCAAAGAGTTGGGAGAAAAATGAATGAGAGGCCATTTGATTTGGTGGCCAGTAGCATGCTGAGATAGTGATAGGGCCGATAAAGGTGTTTATCACCATGCGGCAAATATGAGCGTAGTCTTCAGAAATAAAAGGAAGGGGCTGAAAGGGAATTCTATCAGAGATAATGATTGCAGAACCTCCAGAAACGGGGCGAGTATGAGTGTTATAACAAAAGAGAAACTTAAAACCAGGAATTGAAATAGAAATATTTGGGGAGAGTTTAGTCTCCGAGATTAACATTATATCGATGTTGTTGCTTCTAAGAAAGAGTTCTATATCATGAAGTTTATGGCGTATGCCATTAGCGTTCCAAATTGATATTTTAATTGTGTCACTCATTTGGTTTGGAGGGAAGTAAAAGTGAAACGAGCTGCTCCATCCTGGAAAAGGAGGCCGTTAGTTGAGATTGAAACGTAGTAATTTGAAATTGAAGATAGTCCAACGTGTTGGAGACAAAGGTTCGATATTCCTTGTCAGGAAGACTAGACATGTATTGAGCGTCAGTTTGTGAAGGAACCCTATAAACTGTGGGGCTCTGATGTGTAACTGTGTCGGGGTTTGAAGAGTCAACAGGAATTTTGCCAATAATTCTGGGGAATTTCTGGCCTTGCCATTGAAATGGAACGTCAGCAAGAATATATTTGTTACTGAGTGATCGCACCATATCAGCATATGATCTCGGCGGAGGATTGGATTTGGCCTGTTTGTCGCCAGAAGGAGGTGCATTTGTAGCTGGAGGAGAAGTTAAAACAGAAGAAGCAGATGGGAGATTATTCGAAACAAAATTTGCGAACTGGGTGTTAAAAGAAGCATCAGTCGCTTGGGGATTTTTTCTGACTGTGGACGGTATAGGAAGAGGAGGAAAATTTTCTCGATCAGTTGGGACAGACGCAAGCTGTTTTGCGAGCGTACGAGCCGGAAGTTGGTGAGTTTTGTTACGTCGAGCCCTAATGGCGGCCAAAACTGGGCAACCATTATAACTGGCAGTGTGAGAGCCGTTGCAGTTGGCGCACGTGGCATCCGTGTCAGGAGGCTTAGTGCAGGAAGAGGAAAGATGGTCTTTACCACATTTGACACACTTAGGATTGTGTTTACAAAATTTGGCAGTATGTTCAAATTTCTGACATCTTTTACATTGCGGAATGCTAGTGTTTCTGACAGTTGCCTCAACATTAACTATGAAATTTCCAATATGCTTAACAAGGAATATTTTCTCATTTTTGGGAGTATTGATTAAGTTAACATAGAAGGCGTTAGGCGAATATTTAGCCGCAGAATCTGGATTACGTTTGTCTTTAAAAGTGGGATTGTGGACGCTCACCACATCAAAGCCCTGATTTATGAGCGAATTTTTAATAAAATCCGTAGAAGTGGAGCGAGGTAACCCCCTAATATAAACGCGTAGGGGCCTGAGTTCTTTCGGTTGGTGAGTATGATATCTGGCATCATGTTCGTCAAGATGCTGGATAATTAGACGATAGGATTCAGGGATCTTAGCGTGAATCCACACACTGCCAGGGGCACCCATTTTTAACAAAAAATGTTCTGGTTGAACTACAGTGGACAGTGAGGACAATAAATTAGAGGCATCCTCGCACTCAACTTGAATTGGGGGTGGTTTACCAGACGTAATATGAAAAAGTACAGGCTTACCCTGATCCATTGAATTACTTGCTTGTTGAGCAGTAGGAGCCACAGAATCCAAGGGAGCCACAGCTGACAAGTTTCCGTGATCAGATGTGAAAGAGGACAGTAATTGGTTTGGTTGTGGTGAAGCTGGAAGAACCGTTGCATCTTCTCCAGGAGATAAGTCGCCGGACATATCACCCTCATCACTAACGAGCTCAATTAAGTCAGGATTTAGGGAGTCGTGGGCATCCAGCCTCTGCACATCGTGCTGGGCAGTACGCGCTGAGGAAGATATGCGCCGCACAGCAACACTGGCGCGAACTCGTCTGGTTTTAGGAGAAATGTGAGTAGTATTTGCGCGCATATAAAGTGCAGCCGCATTATTGCCTGATGCTGCGGCCGCCTTAACAGAAGAGTTATTAGGTTGAGCCGAAAGTTGTGCGTTTACAGAACGACGTGTAACTGTAGACGAGTTGATAGCAGGATGAGAATCCGTTTTGGGAGTGGAACAAGATGGTTCATTTTTGCGATTATCCTCCTTTGGAGATGATGAGAGAGTTGCAGGCTTAGTAGAGCCTCCACTAAGCAGAACATTTGAAGTAACCAATTGAGGCCGATTAGGGCTTCTTTTGGGTTTAGCAGTGACCAGTGTATATTTTTCTTGATTCATTATGAAAAGAGAAAATTGTACGAAATAATAAGTTTATAGTCGAGTTATTTTATAGTTTGTTTAAATATGAAATAAATTGCATAAATAAACCGACACAGCGGCATAATCACGATACCAAAAAGCCACACTGTGCGGAAAAATATTCTCCTACCGAACCCGTACACGCGTCAAAGTCAGAACTCTACCAGCATGTGCACATAAGATCCAACTCTCTAAGCTGAGGAGTCAATACCATACATCAACACACTGAAGCGCCCAAAAACCAGTCACGGCCAGGAAAAATCCGGCAGAAAGGATCCCCACACACAGGCAGCCCAAAGCGCACAAAAAGCCGAATGCCAATCTATTAAGCAGAAAAGAGAAAAATAAAAAATTATTATGAATCAAGTTCAGGTGAAAGTCAATTGAAGGTCAAGTGACAACTGAAGGTCAAACGGAGCAAAGGTTGAGAGCTGGTACAGTCACGCACTCTAACCACGTAATCCTACCAACACTAGCACAGTTTTTTTGTTTTATATCGTTTATTATGGCGCACAAGGCCGAGAAATGGGTACAACAAACTTAATCTAAAATTAAATACTAATCCCAATTACAGCCAAGAGTGTGCAGTGATAGGAGGCAGCAACATTTAAATTTGTCTTAATCCTTCCCTTTTAGAAGAGTGGAGGGAATGCGGGGAGAATCCGAAGCAGTGATGATTAGGTACCCCTTCCCTCTTGGGGGCACCAAATGGTACATTAAGTTTGTGAGTGTTGTACATAGTTGCATAATAGTATAGTATAAATGTAGTTAAATTTAAATGATACAATGTGCAATATTTGATTACTATGTGATGAGCAGTACATGTTAGATTTATGAATGTTGTGCAAAAGTAGTATAATATGGTATATATATAATTAAATTTATGTGATATGGTGTGCAATATATAAGTATAATGTGGTAAGCAAATGCAAGTTAAATTGTGAATGTTGCACAAATAGTGGTATAAAAGTATATAAAAAATAATTAAATTTGTGTGATATGATGTGCAATATTTAAATTTAGTGTGATAAGTAAATGTGATATTTTTAAAGAATTTTAACAAAATATATAAGACAAAATTTTTGGACTTAAGAATAGTAAATGTAGTTTATAAAGTAAAAAATAAAAGCTATTACATTGAAATGAAAAATTAAATTGTTTCATTTTGAAAATTATATAAGACAATATTTTGAAATGCGTGTGGCTCAGGCTTTTTTTTAAGTGTGAGGTGTAAGTTTAACAAAATAATATGTATGTATACGTTGCTAGTAACAATAAATGTGGGCTTATAGACTATGACAATGGAACAATGTTTATAAATTAAAGTAGATTCTAAGTTAGTGCTGCAGAAGTTCCGAGGCTGAATGATGTCCAAGTCCGGGGATGATGTGCCAAAAGAAACGATCTTGTGAGAAGCCGCCAGTTAGTCCATTATTAAAGTTTGGGAAGTAAAATGAAGAACTAATTAGTGTTTTGTTATATGGAGGATAAATCCTGAGAAACAATAAAGATGTGTGATTTATGGTAGAGTGTGCTGTTTGATGATGAGTATATTATAAGGTGTGAATCGGCATGAGTGTAGCAATGTGTGCAGAGAAGTGTGTGTAGACGGAATGATGTGTGTGTAGGGTAGGAGTCCAGGACCCAGTACGACAGGATTGAAGAATAATGTGCGTATAAATGAATTATTTATATTATTGTTTACTTTATGTGGTTTGAAAAATTTATGGATTAATGATTGATTTATGATGTGCGTTATTAGGAAATTTTTGTTGTAATTTTATAATATTTATAAGGCTTGTTTTATGATGTTATGGGCTATTTGATATAATGAATTATGCAACTATAGATTATTGTTATTATATTGGCTTGACAGTTTATTAAGTGAAATGTGATTATTTTGAGTTAGTTATTGTGGCTTTTAATTTATGAAATGAAGAATTGTGTAGATGTGTGATTTCGTTAAGTGTGTGTAATTAATTATTCGATGATGGAATTTTATTTAATGTGTGTTTTGATTAGATACATGTAATTAATTGTGAAGTTGTGTGGAAATGATAGTGTTTGTTATAGTATGTAGATTTTATAGGCAAAATTATGATTGCTTTGTAAATTTTTGCGGGGAATGTAAATAAGTAATTAAATTGGTGACTAGTTTGTAAATTATAGTGTGTTTTGTTTTAAGTTAATTATTTGTGGTTTCAAATTTATAAAATGTGGACTTGTGTGAATATGCGTTTCCATTGAGTGATGAAGTTATGTAAATATACGATTTAATTAGGTGTATAAATTTTAAATTGTAGAATTGTGTGAAATAATATAGTATTAATTATGGTATGTGTATTAATGTAAATAATTTATAAGCAAATTTATGTTTGCTTTGTAGGTTTTAGCGGGAGATATAAATAGTTATTAAATGTGTGACTGGTTTATCAATTACAGAGTGGTGATTTAAGTTAGTTATTGTGGTTTGTATTTTATGAAGTGATGCATTGTGTAAATGTGATGAGTTGTGTAAATGTGTGTTTCTATGAAGTTATGTAAATATACGATTTAATTAGGTGTATAAATTTTAAATTGTAGAATTGTGTGAAATAATATAGTATTAATTATGGTATGTGTATTAATGTAAATAATTTATAAGCAAATTTATATTTGCTTTGTAGGTTTTAGCGGGAGATATAAATAGTTATTAAATGTGTGACTGGTTTATCAATTACAGAGTGTTGGTTTAAGTTAGTTATTGTGGTTTGTATTTTATAAAGTGATGCATTGTGTAAATGTGATGAGTTGTGTAAATGTGTGTTTCTATTACGTGATGAGATTTTGTAAATATGCGTTTTGATTGTATAAATGTATGAGTTTAAATGTAAAGTTGTATAAGGTAATATGATATTAGTTATAGTATGTAATATAGTGTAAGTAATTTATAAGCAAATTAATATTTACTTTGTAGGTTTTTTTTTTTAACTAACGAGAAGCAGAAATGTCGACGAATTGTCCGGACCATGATGCATTAATAAATTTGCGAACGTCAGGAATTAATGGAGGAGGATGTAACACCAAGCGTAAGGAGTATGGGCGTCCCTTCCGAGGTCGCGTGTGTCCATAATTTTGCGAACATTGGTTACAGGGATGAGAGATCCGGGCTCCAGGCAGATGATTATTGTGATAAGATTAAAAATTAGGTGAATTAATTTGTATGTGAATTTAAAAGCCAATATATTTTGTTTATATTTTGATTATGTGGTGAAAATAAAAAGGTTATATAGCCGATGATATACTTGTATGAAAAATGAATTAGTTATTATGTATTGCGGTATTTAAATGCAGTTATGAATGTTGTGTATGGTTATGGATGATTGATTTAAGTAATTTGTAATATTTACTGTATGAATGTTTGTCTATTTGTAGCGAGGTTGGGTCCGAATTTCCTGCATCAAGGCGTTTGAGAAGTATCGTTGGGATAAATATATCCGCAATAAATCAATATTTGTCCCGCGTTGCAGCAACATCCAACAGGAAGACAGCAGCCCTGCCATATAACAAAATAGGTGATTGGAACAGGTCACCAAGATGATTTCCAAACTGCAGACGAGATGACAGTAATGTGTACAATCTGGGTCACACGTTGCGTCCAGAAGCAGCATGAGTAATGGCCATTTAGCCATCATTCGATATAAATCCAAAATTGGTGTGGGGACACATAGCGGCAGACAGATCCATGGTGAAGAGCGCAGTATATCATCACAGGTAATACGCAGCGAAAGTTATTTCAAGGCTGAGAAGTCGGAATAATTAGTATTTGGTTAGTAGAGAAGAAAGGCACGTTACCAAATTAACTGGAGAGGTGTGGGTCAGTGTAGCAACCGCACACCCGCACAAAACCAGGCAGTCCCGCAGACGCCAGGTGTGACACCGCTGAAGAGGGACACGTGGCCAACCTAAGCGACCAGTAGCATGGACAAGCAGCTGAGCTAGCTGACACCTCCAGCCGCCGCGACCAAACAGGAGACACGGCCCCCACAGCAACAGGATGACACCAGGCGCGCAAGGACACTTGGAGAAGAAAACACGGCACTATAAAAGCAATACGACAGAGTACTTTCTGTTAAGATTTTCTTTAATTGAGATTATAAAAATTTGTTTAAGCGCAGCGAAAAGCACATTCGTGTCTAGTATGAATAACCCGACTGAGGGTTGAGACAGAAAACATAGGCTATTAAAACTGGATTCTGGGTGTACCAGTGGAAAACTGCCGTTAAAAATAAAGCTCATTAACATAAAGCTCGAAAGACACAGTCAAATTGAGCAGAATTAATTTATTAGAGCGGGGCTTAAAACACTTCGCTCATACTGATAGGTTACTCTTTGACAAAAAGAGAATAATATTATAAAGAATAGATAAAGAAAAGAGAGTATATAGGTTATTCATAGTGATAAAGAAGAATTATAGACCCAGGAAATAGAAGAGTTTTGAGCGACCATGGCCAAGAAGCGCTCATTTATATCGCTGCTCGAGGCAGCATATCAGAGCACCAGTCGGCATAACCGCCCATAGATGGTAGAGGGGCGAAGAAGGGCCCAGAATCCAGCTGTATAGAGTAAAAAATTCACACCATACACGGGTCTGGGTCCCTCCAAGCACGAAAAACCTCCATTAGATCAAGGAGCAACATGAATCGAAGACATAGTACAAGGCTATGAAAAGAAATTTTTCGAAGCATACTATGTGATTTAGTGAAATTTAGATGCAAGGTAAATAATTTTGGTATGAATAATAAAATTAAATAATCAAGGATTGCAGGTTGCTCAATTGACCATAGGAAGTTTAACAATGTTATGTTAAACATACTAAAATGTAGGTAACATAACAAATTTTTATACAAATACATGCCGCACATTTTTTTTTTTTTTTTTTTTTTTTATATCGTTTATTATGGCGCACAAGGCCGAGAAATGGGTACAACAAACTTAATCTAAAATTAAATACTAATCCCAATTACAGCCAAGAGTGTGCAGTGATAGGAGGCAGCAACATTTAAATTTGTCTTAATCCTTCCCTTTTAGAAGAGTGGAGGGAATGCGGGGAGAATCCGAAGCAGTGATGATTAGGTACCCCTTCCCTCTTGGGGGCACCAAATGGTACATTAAGTTTGTGAGTGTTGTACATAGTTGCATAATAGTATAGTATAAATGTAGTTAAATTTAAATGATACAATGTGCAATATTTGATTACTATGTGATAAGCAGTACATGTTAGATTTATGAATGTTGTGCAAAAGTAGTATAATATGGTATATATATAATTAAATTTATGTGATATGGTGTGCAATATATAAGTATAATGTGGTAAGCAAATGCAAGTTAAATTGTGAATGTTGCACAAATAGTGGTATAAAAGTATATAAAAAATAATTAAATTTGTGTGATATGATGTGCAATATTTAAATTTAGTGTGATAAGTAAATGTGATATTTTTAAAGAATTTTAACAAAATATATAAGACAAAATTTTTGGACTTAAGAATAGTAAATGTAGTTTATAAAGTAAAAAATAAAAGCTATTACATTGAAATGAAAAATTAAATTGTTTCATTTTGAAAATTATATAAGACAATATTTTGAAATGCGTGTGGCTCAGGCTTTTTTTTAAGTGTGAGGTGTAAGTTTAACAAAATAATATGTATGTATACGTTGCTAGTAACAATAAATGTGGGCTTATAGACTATGACAATGGAACAATGTTTATAAATTAAAGTAGATTCTAAGTTAGTGCTGCAGAAGTTCCGAGGCTGAATGATGTCCAAGTCCGGGGATGATGTGCCAAAAGAAACGATCTTGTGAGAAGCCGCCAGTTAGTCCATTATTAAAGTTTGGGAAGTAAAATGAAGAACTAATTAGTGTTTTGTTATATGGAGGATAAATCCTGAGAAACAATAAAGATGTGTGATTTATGGTAGAGTGTGCTGTTTGATGATGAGTATATTATAAGGTGTGAATCGGCATGAGTGTAGCAATGTGTGCAGAGAAGTGTGTGTAGACGGAATGATGTGTGTGTAGGGTAGGAGTCCAGGACCCAGTACGACAGGATTGAAGAATAATGTGCGTATAAATGAATTATTTATATTATTGTTTACTTTATGTGGTTTGAAAAATTTATGGATTAATGATTGATTTATGATGTGCGTTATTAGGAAATTTTTGTTGTAATTTTATAATATTTATAAGGCTTGTTTTATGATGTTATGGGCTATTTGATATAATGAATTATGCAACTATAGATTATTGTTATTATATTGGCTTGACAGTTTATTAAGTGAAATGTGATTATTTTGAGTTAGTTATTGTGGCTTTTAATTTATGAAATGAAGAATTGTGTAGATGTGTGATTTCGTTAAGTGTGTGTAATTAATTATTCGATGATGGAATTTTATTTAATGTGTGTTTTGATTAGATACATGTAATTAATTGTGAAGTTGTGTGGAAATGATAGTGTTTGTTATAGTATGTAGATTTTATAGGCAAAATTATGATTGCTTTGTAAATTTTTGCGGGGAATGTAAATAAGTAATTAAATTGGTGACTAGTTTGTAAATTATAGTGTGTTTTGTTTTAAGTTAATTATTTGTGGTTTCAAATTTATAAAATGTGGACTTGTGTGAATATGCGTTTCCATTGAGTGATGAAGTTATGTAAATATACGATTTAATTAGGTGTATAAATTTTAAATTGTAGAATTGTGTGAAATAATATAGTATTAATTATGGTATGTGTATTAATGTAAATAATTTATAAGCAAATTTATGTTTGCTTTGTAGGTTTTAGCGGGAGATATAAATAGTTATTAAATGTGTGACTGGTTTATCAATTACAGAGTGGTGATTTAAGTTAGTTATTGTGGTTTGTATTTTATGAAGTGATGCATTGTGTAAATGTGATGAGTTGTGTAAATGTGTGTTTCTATGAAGTTATGTAAATATACGATTTAATTAGGTGTATAAATTTTAAATTGTAGAATTGTGTGAAATAATATAGTATTAATTATGGTATGTGTATTAATGTAAATAATTTATAAGCAAATTTATATTTGCTTTGTAGGTTTTAGCGGGAGATATAAATAGTTATTAAATGTGTGACTGGTTTATCAATTACAGAGTGTTGGTTTAAGTTAGTTATTGTGGTTTGTATTTTATAAAGTGATGCATTGTGTAAATGTGATGAGTTGTGTAAATGTGTGTTTCTATTACGTGATGAGATTTTGTAAATATGCGTTTTGATTGTATAAATGTATGAGTTTAAATGTAAAGTTGTATAAGGTAATATGATATTAGTTATAGTATGTAATATAGTGTAAGTAATTTATAAGCAAATTAATATTTACTTTGTAGGTTTTTTTTTTTAACTAACGAGAAGCAGAAATGTCGACGAATTGTCCGGACCATGATGCATTAATAAATTTGCGAACGTCAGGAATTAATGGAGGAGGATGTAACACCAAGCGTAAGGAGTATGGGCGTCCCTTCCGAGGTCGCGTGTGTCCATAATTTTGCGAACATTGGTTACAGGGATGAGAGATCCGGGCTCCAGGCAGATGATTATTGTGATAAGATTAAAAATTAGGTGAATTAATTTGTATGTGAATTTAAAAGCCAATATATTTTGTTTATATTTTGATTATGTGGTGAAAATAAAAAGGTTATATAGCCGATGATATACTTGTATGAAAAATGAATTAGTTATTATGTATTGCGGTATTTAAATGCAGTTATGAATGTTGTGTATGGTTATGGATGATTGATTTAAGTAATTTGTAATATTTACTGTATGAATGTTTGTCTATTTGTAGCGAGGTTGGGTCCGAATTTCCTGCATCAAGGCGTTTGAGAAGTATCGTTGGGATAAATATATCCGCAATAAATCAATATTTGTCCCGCGTTGCAGCAACATCCAACAGGAAGACAGCAGCCCTGCCATATAACAAAATAGGTGATTGGAACAGGTCACCAAGATGATTTCCAAACTGCAATTTTGGTATGAATAATAAAATTAAATAATCAAGGATTGCAGGTTGCTCAATTGACCATAGGAAGTTTAACAATGTTATGTTAAACATACTAAAATGTAGGTAACATAACAAATTTTTATACAAATACATGCCGCACAGAACCAAACTGGCCAGCAGACAAGATCAGGCGACAGAAGTTTAAGATAGGGAAAAAACATACTGGCAAAATCGAAGTTCTGTAATAAATACAAAATAATTGTTGGACAAGTTCGCGACTGAGACATGATGTGCACAGTTACCATGCAGTCGGCGAATCTAATCCACAATAATTCAGCGTATAAGTGTATAAAGTTTATCAGAATTTAAATTACTGATGTAGTGTTGCCGTGGTATACACCGGCACTCCACACGAGACAGAACAACGTTGACAATGCGTAAGAACATAGGAGCGAAAAGAATGTCAACACGCCGTATTTCAGAGCGAAGAAGAAGGTTGGCGGTAAATTTGAAAAATTCTGAGTTTACTTTAGATGTAGAAAAAATCGAGTAGATAAAGGAAATACTACATGAGGTGAAAAAATTAATTAATTAGAGTTGTATTTGTATAATTTATTTAGTAGCTGCAGAGAGTTGCAATAAAAATATTACAATAAAAAGTTGCCCGCGATGAAAAAAGGGGAAATGAAAGCTCTGACTTGTAGGCGTGTGAAAAGAACGACAATACTTTAAATAAGGGAGACAGAAATAAGACACTCGTGAGAGAATAAACGGAGAGCATTTTAGTATAAGAGTTCCAGCAAGCGTGTAAATAGGTGAATGACCTAGGCGAGCGTGAATTGAAGCTAGAAAAGTGGGATAGGTCAGTAATGCGCCTCATATACGCAGTGTGAATAATAAAGCAAACATATGTTAAAAGCTCTAAGGCGTGTATATCAGAAAAGTGCTTCGTATGCGTAATGTAAAGATGTGTGTGTAGTACGTATGCAGAACCCATTGAGCGCAGTATTGCAGTGCAGCATGTATACTACTAAGAATAGCCTACTTTATGTAGTGGCTGTTTAGTTTTAGTAGTGGTCAGGTGGACAGATAAGTAAAGTATAATATATTAATTGTGATGAAAGTAACTATGAAAAATAATAAGAAAGTATTATCAGATTTATACACCGAAAGTGTAGAAAAATGAAATTATAAAATTTCATGTAATTAAATAAACGTATAGATGTAATTATACCATATATGTATGCTTAATGCATAATAAGAGTATAAATATAATAGGAAATGACTGATATAGAGAATTTATTGGAAAACATTGGGTGGAGGGACTCTGTCTGATAAATTCTTAGGTCGATAGCGATTTGGTGGACCATTACCAGGTGCTAAAGAAAGTAATCCCCGAACGAGGACATTTTCATGCGTACGAATTTTTTCCTTATATCTGCTCGCATGGAGATTAATTTGATCCCAAACCGTAGCAATGTTAAAAGCGTTATGAATATCGGAGTTTCTCACGAATGGAGTAGCGTTTGTACAGCGACGTAAAGTAGAATTTTGTATGGTTTGAATTTTTCTAATATGAACATCTGCGGCACAGCCCCATAGTTCAATTCCATATTTGTATGATGGCGCAATAATCTGATTATAAATAAGCAATTTATTTCGAATGCTGAGGCGAGAACGTGAGTTTAGAAGCCAATTATATTTACGTACTTTAGTTATAAGTGACGATCTAATAGTACCAATATGACTGTTCCATAATAGTTTTCTATCTAGTTTTAAGCCCAGATATACGACTGATGATTTCAATGGTATGACTACATTATCTAATCTTACGTCGGACATACGGAGATTCCGCCATGTAAAGTGCATGTGGGATGATTTCCTACAGTTTATCTTGATATTCCAAGACCTTGCCCAGTTGGAAAAGGTGACGAGGAAATTATTCATTAGACTGACGCATACAGAAGCATTAGCGTCGCTGAATAATATTGCAGTATCATCCGCATATGTGGCAATGAGTGATCTACTACGACAAAGTCTAGGAAGTTGCGGAGTTGGCATGTCACTAACAAAGACATTATAGAGGGTAGGTGCGAGGATGCTTCCCTGCGGGACACCGGCTCGAATTTGACGTACAGATGAAAAGCTACCCCTCTCTTTAACACAGAAGGAGCGATTTGATAAATAGGAAACGAAAAGCTCGTATAATGATTGGGGCAATATCGCTTTTAGTTTAAATAGAAGGCCGCTATGCCACACACGATCGAATGCCTGTTCAATATCAAGAAAAACAGCCGAGGTATATTGGTAACGGTCAAAAGTACAATGAACATGATTCACAATGCGATGTACTTGCTGGATAGTACTATGCTCCTTACGGAAGCCAAACTGGTGATCAGGTATAGTATTACTAAAATCAAGAATATCGTATAATCGGACGGACATGACAATTTCGAATAGTTTGGAAAGAGCGGGTAGTAAACTAATAGGTCTATAGTCTTTTAATTGACTTAGGGAACGACCAGACTTGGGTATCATGGTAACAGCTGCGCATTTCCAGCATGATGGAAAATATCGCAGCCTCAGCATAACGTTAAAGAGTTTAACTAAAAACATGATAGCCCTTTGAGGCAGGCAACGTAAAATTTGGTTAGTAATATTATCTAAGCCGGGGGCTTTTTTGATCTTTAAACTTGCTATGTGATTTGTTAATTCAGACGGACTGACATGACGGATGGGAACGGGTGATGCAGTTACAGCAGAGTTATCATCGATTGTATTTAATACATGTTCTGTTTGCGCACTAGAGGCAAAATCTAGTGGAGTGAAGCGAGCTTCCAATTCGTTAGCAAAAGCCTCGGCAACTTCCAAGGGCGCAGTGCACCAATTGCCAGCGGCATCCTTAATAGGAGCGACCATATGAGGCTGTGTTTTAAGGTGTTTAGTGGCGCGCCACAGGTTAAAACCACCTTTTTTGGACGGATCGGCGTTTTGTAAAATAAAATTAAAGTGATCCGCTCGAATTCGTCTAAGGAAGTTGGAAAGTATGCGTGAAACAAATAGCCAATCCGATTTGTGAACTGGAGATCGAGAGCGAGTATAAAGTTTTCTCAATTGACGTTTTAGGCGAGCCAGCTCGAGGGCTTCGGCTTTTAAAGGAGGCCGATAAAATATTTGATGAGAAGGGAACGGGCTATAAGTCGGTGTGGCTGCGATGGCACAAGAACGAATTTTTGCTGTAAAAATGTTAATTGCATCCTCTATATCATTAATTGTATTGATGTCCATATTTAAATGGATACAATTATTGAGAAGAGTTTTGAAATTTTTAACATTGGTATTTTTTGTGAAAAGTTTCGAGTTTGCAGTTAGATCAGTATCTGGGGGGAGAGATATTGATGATAATCCAAATTTTAAAGTGGCGATGAGTGGGAGGTGATCACTTGTTAAATCAAAGTGCCTACTGATGCTCATTAAGGAATGTGGAATATTTCGAGTTACAGCAAAATCCAATACAGACGGTGTAGCGCCACTACGTGGAAAATGAGTGGGCTCGGCTGTAGAAAGAATATTTAATCTTTCAGAAGATAGAATAATGTCAGCTAAAGCTGAGCCGCGCGGGCAGCTTCGAAAGTTGCCCCACAATCGGTGTTTGGCGTTCCAATCGCCTCCAATGAAAAATTTGTCGCCAAGTTGGTTAAAAAGTGTTGAGAAAAACAAATGTGAAACCAATTGATTAGGTGGCCAATAGCAGGAGGCAATAGTGATAAAACCGATGTAAGTATTTATTACAATGCGGCAAATGTGAGAATGCTCTTCCGAAATTGGGGGGAGAGGCTGATAAGGAATTTTTTTAGAAATAATGATAGCCGAACCACCAGCAGCAGACCGAGTATTTTGGTTAAAAGCGAAAAGAAGATCATAGCCAGGAATCGAAGTTGTAATGTTGGAGGAGAGTTTAATCTCCGAAATTAACATAATGTCAATATTGTTGCTTATAAGAAAAAGTTCAATATCGTGGAACTTGCGGCGAATGCCGTTTGAATTCCAAATTGACAATCTGATTGTGTTATTCATTGTGATTGGAAAGCGAGAGAACCAGCTGCTCCATCCTGGCAAAGGAGGCCTTTAGCTGATTTTGAAAGCAGGTAATTTGATACTGCATGTAATCAAAACTGTTCGAAACGTAAGTTCTGAATTCTTTTTCAGGAAGATTTAAAAAGTTTGTAGTAGGAGACTCGGTTTGGGGACCGTCTCTCTGGTTTGAGACTGTGGGGATTTGCTGAGAGCGTACCGTTTGTGAAGTTGAAGGGATATTTGCAGTTTTTCCCAGTATTCTTGGAATTTTTTCCCCTTGCCATTGGGACGGAATATCCGCAAGAATATGTTTGGTACTAAGGGAGCGTACCATGTCGGCATATGTTGTAGGCTGCGCTACCGGTTTTTTAAGGCTGCCTTCTGCTGGTGGAGTAGGGTTTTTTTTAACGAAATTAGTAAATTCCGTATTGAAAGATCCATCTGCTGTTTCAATATTTTGCCTGGCCTTTGATGGATTGGGCGGAGGAGGAAAATCGGCCTGTCTAAGTGGAGCTGATGCAAGTTGCAGTGCACGAGTTCGAGCCGGAAGCTGATGGAATTTGTTACGTCTGGCTTTTAGTGCCGCTAAAATAGGGCAACCAGAATAATTGGCTGTATGAGAGCCATTGCAATTAGCACATGTGGGAAGTGTATCAATGTGTTTTGTGCAGGTGGCTGACAAGTGGTCATTCCCACATTTAACACACTTGGGATTATGTTTGCAAAATTTTGCGGTGTGTTCAAAGCGTTGACATCGCTTACACTGCGGTATATCAAGATTTTTGTTTGTTGCCTCAACACGGACAATATAATTACCAATGTTCTTGATTTGGAAAATTCTCTCGTTTTTGGGAGTGTTAAGAAGATTAACAAAAAATGCATTTGGAGAGAATTTCACAGCCTGATCAGGTTTGCGTTTGTCAACAAAGGTAGGGTTGTGAACACTCACTATATCAAAACCCTGATCAGTTAACGAGTCAATTATATGTTTAGGAGGGGTAGCACGCGGTAAGCCTCTGACGTACACACGAAGGGGCCTGAGTTCTTTTGGCTGATGGGTGTGATACCGAAAATCATTAGCATCAAGAAAATGAATAATTTTCCTGTATTCGTCAGGAGCCTTGGAGTGCACCCAAACATTGCCCAAAGTGCCCATTTTTAAAAGAAACATGGTCGGCAATACCACATTTGACAAGGAAGTGAGCAATATTGAGGCATCATCGCATTCTACCTGAATGGGTGGGGGCTTTCCAGAGAAAATAAGAGCAAAATTTGGCTTACCCTGGTTCTCCAAGTCGGACTGTGAGGGAGTAGGCTCCGCAACTTCATTTTGTATAGAAGTATGCTGGTTTGGTGGTGTAGTAGGAGGAGCACTCGAGCCTTCCATATGGGACGAGTCACTGTCAAGGTCTCCCTCGTCACTTTCCAATTCAATGAGGTCTGGCCTGGTTTGATCCTGGGCATCGCGCCTTTGAGTGTCGTGCTGAGCGGCCCTTGCCGAGGCAGAGGTACGTCGCACAGCAGCACTGGAACGGACGCGTCGTGTTTTTGGCGAAGTATGGGGTGCATTGGCACGCTTATAAAGCGATGCCGTGTTGCTACCCAGGTTTGCCGCCTCCTCCACAGATGGATTATAGGGCTTGACGGGAATATGGAGATCACCTGAACGCCGAACCACGGTTGTGGAATTAATAACTGGGTGAAAAACCTTCTTTGGAGTAGAACTAGAAGGTTCATGTTTGCTAGTGTCCTTCTTTGGAGATGGTGAAAGTGAAGTGGGCTTGGAACTTCCGGCACACAAGAGGACATTAGAAGTAACCAAGGGAGGCCCCTTTGGACTTCTTTTAGGCTTAGCCGCCGTTAACTTGGATCTATCTTGATTCATCTTTAGAAAAAGGAAAAAGTATGGAGATTAGTATAGAAGAAATTTATTTAATGGTCAAAGCTTAGAGTCGAGTTATTCATCGGATAATTAAATTTGCAAAAAACAAGGATGACACTGTAGTACTAACCTTAATGCTAAGGGCCACACCACACAAGAAGAAAATCCACCACCGGGCCCAAGCACGTGCAGAAGTATGGCCACAAACAGCGCGAACTTACCAGACCTGACCCACAAAGGAGAAACAAATCAGCACCCACGCACTGCAGCAGCCAGAAAATCGACACGGCCAGAATAACCAGGCAGGGGAAAGTTCAAACGCACGGGCAGCCAATGCACAAGATCAGACAGAAAGTCAAAAAATTTTTGTCAAAGCTGTGGAAAAGCTGTGAAAAATTTGAAAAATGAATAAAAATTAATGAATAAGAATGAAAATAAATAAGAATGAAAATAAATAAGAATGAAAAATTAACGAGACAAATGAAGGTCAAGATAGATGAAGGTCAAGACACAATAGGTCAAGACAAATCAAGGTCAAATCGAAAACACGTAATGACAGTATAGGCACGCACTCACACCCATGCAATCCTACCAACACTAGTGTAATACTGTTGAAAAAGGGACACGTGGCCAGCCTAAGCGACCAGCAGCATGGACAAGCAGCTGAGCTAGCTGACACCTCCAGCCGCCGCGACCAAACAGGAGACACGGCCCCCACAGCAACAGGATGACACCAGGCGCGCAAGGACACTTGGAGAAGAAAACACGGCACTATAAAAGCAATACGACAGAGTACTTTCTGTTAAGATTTTCTTTAATTGAGATTATAAAAATTTGTTTAAGCGCAGCGAAAAGCACATTCGTGTCTAGTATGAATAACCCGACTGAGGGTTGAGACAGAAAACATAGGCTATTAAAACTGGATTCTGGGTGTACCAGTGGAAAACTGCCGTTAAAAATAAAGCTCATTAACATAAAGCTCGAAAGACACACTCAAATTGAGCAGAATTAATTTATTAGAGCGGGGCTTAAAACACTTCGCTCATACTGATAGGTTACTCTTTGACAAAAAGAGAATAATATTATAAAGAATAGATAAAGAAAAGAGAGTATATAGGTTATTCATAGTGATAAAGAAGAATTATAGACCCAGGAAATAGAAGAGTTTTGAGCGACCATGGCCAAGAAGCGCTCATTTATATCGCTGCTCGAGGCAGCATATCAGAGCACCAGTCGGCATAACCGCCCATAGATGGTAGAGGGGCGAAGAAGGGCCCAGAATCCAGCTGTATAGAGTAAAAAATTCACACCATACACGGGTCTGGGTCCCTCCAAGCACGAAAAACCTCCATTAGATCAAGGAGCAACATGAATCGAAGACATAGTACAAGGCTATGAAAAGAAATTTTTCGAAGCATACTATGTGATTTAGTGAAATTTAGATGCAAGGTAAATAATTTTGGTATGAATAATAAAATTAAATAATCAAGGATTGCAGGTTGCTCAATTGACCATAGGAAGTTTAACAATGTTATGTTAAACATACTAAAATGTAGGTAACATAACAAATTTTTATACAAATACATGCCGCACAGAACCAAACTGGCCAGCAGACAAGATCAGGCGACAGAAGTTTAAGATAGGGAAAAAACATACTGGCAAAATCGAAGTTCTGTAATAAATACAAAATAATTGTTGGACAAGTTCGCGACTGAGACATGATGTGCACAGTTACCATGCAGTCGGCGAATCTAATCCACAATAATTCAGCGTATAAGTGTATAAAGTTTATCAGAATTTAAATTACTGATGTAGTGTTGCCGTGGTATACACCGGCACTCCACACGAGACAGAACAACGTTGACAATGCGTAAGAACATAGGAGCGAAAAGAATGTCAACACGCCGTATTTCAGAGCGAAGAAGAAGGTTGGCGGTAAATTTGAAAAATTCTGAGTTTACTTTAGATGTAGAAAAAATCGAGTAGATAAAGGAAATACTACATGAGGTGAAAAAATTAATTAATTAGAGTTGTATTTGTATAATTTATTTAGTAGCTGCAGAGAGTTGCAATAAAAATATTACAATAAAAAGTTGCCCGCGATGAAAAAAGGGGAAATGAAAGCTCTGACTTGTAGGCGTGTGAAAAGAACGACAATACTTTAAATAAGGGAGACAGAAATAAGACACTCGTGAGAGAATAAACGGAGAGCATTTTAGTATAAGAGTTCCAGCAAGCGTGTAAATAGGTGAATGACCTAGGCGAGCGTGAATTGAAGCTAGAAAAGTGGGATAGGTCAGTAATGCGCCTCATATACGCAGTGTGAATAATAAAGCAAACATATGTTAAAAGCTCTAAGGCGTGTATATCAGAAAAGTGCTTCGTATGCGTAATGTAAAGATGTGTGTGTAGTACGTATGCAGAACCCATTGAGCGCAGTATTGCAGTGCAGCATGTATACTACTAAGAATAGCCTACTTTATGTAGTGGCTGTTTAGTTTTAGTAGTGGTCAGGTGGACAGATAAGTAAAGTATAATATATTAATTGTGATGAAAGTAACTATGAAAAATAATAAGAAAGTATTATCAGATTTATACACCGAAAGTGTAGAAAAATGAAATTATAAAATTTCATGTAATTAAATAAACGTATAGATGTAATTATACCATATATGTATGCTTAATGCATAATAAGAGTATAAATATAATAGGAAATGACTGATATAGAGAATTTATTGGAAAACATTGGGTGGAGGGACTCTGTCTGATAAATTCTTAGGTCGATAGCGATTTGGTGGACCATTACCAGGTGCTAAAGAAAGTAATCCCCGAACGAGGACATTTTCATGCGTACGAATTTTTTCCTTATATCTGCTCGCATGGAGATTAATTTGATCCCAAACCGTAGCAATGTTAAAAGCGTTATGAATATCGGAGTTTCTCACGAATGGAGTAGCGTTTGTACAGCGACGTAAAGTAGAATTTTGTATGGTTTGAATTTTTCTAATATGAACATCTGCGGCACAGCCCCATAGTTCAATTCCATATTTGTATGATGGCGCAATAATCTGATTATAAATAAGCAATTTATTTCGAATGCTGAGGCGAGAACGTGAGTTTAGAAGCCAATTATATTTACGTACTTTAGTTATAAGTGACGATCTAATAGTACCAATATGACTGTTCCATAATAGTTTTCTATCTAGTTTTAAGCCCAGATATACGACTGATGATTTCAATTTTTTTTTTTTTTTTTTTTTTATATCGTTTATTATGGCGCACAAGGCCGAGAAATGGGTACAACAAACTTAATCTAAAATTAAATACTAATCCCAATTACAGCCAAGAGTGTGCAGTGATAGGAGGCAGCAACATTTAAATTTGTCTTAATCCTTCCCTTTTAGAAGAGTGGAGGGAATGCGGGGAGAATCCGAAGCAGTGATGATTAGGTACCCCTTCCCTCTTGGGGGCACCAAATGGTACATTAAGTTTGTGAGTGTTGTACATAGTTGCATAATAGTATAGTATAAATGTAGTTAAATTTAAATGATACAATGTGCAATATTTGATTACTATGTGATAAGCAGTACATGTTAGATTTATGAATGTTGTGCAAAAGTAGTATAATATGGTATATATATAATTAAATTTATGTGATATGGTGTGCAATATATAAGTATAATGTGGTAAGCAAATGCAAGTTAAATTGTGAATGTTGCACAAATAGTGGTATAAAAGTATATAAAAAATAATTAAATTTGTGTGATATGATGTGCAATATTTAAATTTAGTGTGATAAGTAAATGTGATATTTTTAAAGAATTTTAACAAAATATATAAGACAAAATTTTTGGACTTAAGAATAGTAAATGTAGTTTATAAAGTAAAAAATAAAAGCTATTACATTGAAATGAAAAATTAAATTGTTTCATTTTGAAAATTATATAAGACAATATTTTGAAATGCGTGTGGCTCAGGCTTTTTTTTAAGTGTGAGGTGTAAGTTTAACAAAATAATATGTATGTATACGTTGCTAGTAACAATAAATGTGGGCTTATAGACTATGACAATGGAACAATGTTTATAAATTAAAGTAGATTCTAAGTTAGTGCTGCAGAAGTTCCGAGGCTGAATGATGTCCAAGTCCGGGGATGATGTGCCAAAAGAAACGATCTTGTGAGAAGCCGCCAGTTAGTCCATTATTAAAGTTTGGGAAGTAAAATGAAGAACTAATTAGTGTTTTGTTATATGGAGGATAAATCCTGAGAAACAATAAAGATGTGTGATTTATGGTAGAGTGTGCTGTTTGATGATGAGTATATTATAAGGTGTGAATCGGCATGAGTGTAGCAATGTGTGCAGAGAAGTGTGTGTAGACGGAATGATGTGTGTGTAGGGTAGGAGTCCAGGACCCAGTACGACAGGATTGAAGAATAATGTGCGTATAAATGAATTATTTATATTATTGTTTACTTTATGTGGTTTGAAAAATTTATGGATTAATGATTGATTTATGATGTGCGTTATTAGGAAATTTTTGTTGTAATTTTATAATATTTATAAGGCTTGTTTTATGATGTTATGGGCTATTTGATATAATGAATTATGCAACTATAGATTATTGTTATTATATTGGCTTGACAGTTTATTAAGTGAAATGTGATTATTTTGAGTTAGTTATTGTGGCTTTTAATTTATGAAATGAAGAATTGTGTAGATGTGTGCTTTCGTTAAGTGTGTGTAATTAATTATTCGATGATGGAATTTTATTTAATGTGTGTTTTGATTAGATACATGTAATTAATTGTGAAGTTGTGTGGAAATGATAGTGTTTGTTATAGTATGTAGATTTTATAGGCAAAATTATGATTGCTTTGTAAATTTTTGCGGGGAATGTAAATAAGTAATTAAATTGGTGACTAGTTTGTAAATTATAGTGTGTTTTGTTTTAAGTTAATTATTTGTGGTTTCAAATTTATAAAATGTGGACTTGTGTGAATATGCGTTTCCATTGAGTGATGAAGTTATGTAAATATACGATTTAATTAGGTGTATAAATTTTAAATTGTAGAATTGTGTGAAATAATATAGTATTAATTATGGTATGTGTATTAATGTAAATAATTTATAAGCAAATTTATGTTTGCTTTGTAGGTTTTAGCGGGAGATATAAATAGTTATTAAATGTGTGACTGGTTTATCAATTACAGAGTGGTGATTTAAGTTAGTTATTGTGGTTTGTATTTTAT